AGATGACGAAAGGATTTCCTTATGGGATCATGAGAACTCAAAAGTCTCGAAATTGTCTTTTTACTTTTGGAGCTTTCATCCTGTGCTTCGCGGGTCCATGAAGAGTTCTCTGGATTCTTGTTGGGCTTCCATCTTTGAGAGGTCCCGATGTTCTTTTAGGTTTCGTCGAAATTATTTCAATTTTCCATTCATATCACGCTCCCGCATTTTTCTGAGTTGGTTATGTTGGGAACCTGCAGGGTTTAGGAGGAGTCTTCGTCCTCAGGGGCTGCTTGTGCCGTATTGTTGGAACTTGCAAGTACTTGTTTGTACTCAAGTAGTTTAGGAGGAGTTTTCGTCATTTGTTATATCTTTTTATCGGTAGGTCCGATTCAGGTGATTCTTAGACTGTTGGAAAGCTTTTGGGCTTTACTTAAAGTTAAGATAGGATTTGGGTAGTTTTGGGTTAATTTAATTGGGTCTACTAGGATAATGTGGTCTTAAGGGTTTAGAAAACCATAGAATTTGTCAGATTTAAAATGGGCTGTCTATAATAATGCTATTTAAAATGGGGTGTCAAAAACACTCGAGTACTCTTCATGGACTCTTCATGGACTCAACAATAATTTAGAGAACTCTTCATGGACTCGCGAAGCACAGAATGAAAGCTCCAAAAGTAAAAAGACAACTTAGAGACTTTTGAGTTCTCATGATCCCACACGGAAATCTTTTCATCATCTTTGGGTAAAATAAAATAAAGAAAATGACCACCAAAGGGGCCACAGGTGGAAAAACGGTAAGGTCCGTTTATTTTAAAAGCGTTTTTTCAATCTGATTGTTAAAACCCTCCATTTTCAAAACCCTTTTAGAAATGACTTCATCCATCACTACAAGAGGTTAAACTGTTAGTCGATCTGGTTTCGTTCTCGAAGCTAACTTCATACGCCTGTTATCAAGGCTTGAAACTAGTCAGGCACTCTATTGTTGTATGAGTATAACTACCAACTACCACATATATGAGATGGGTGAACCCCGCTAATGACAATATTGGCTAGTCTGGGAGTGTTATTCTCTGGACTGGATCCCCTGAGGCGAAATGAGGCAAGTTCATCCCCGTGTGTGCATAAGATGTCCCAAAGTCCAATTTGAAAAATGATAAACTTGTGTGACGTAAAAGAGCCAAGACAGGATAAACGTCAAACTCGTGCAACGTAAAAGAGCCGAGACATGATAAACGTCAAACTCATGCAACATAAAAGAGCCAAGACAAAAAAAAAAAAAAAAAACTTCAAAGACAGGAAAAACGTCAAACTCATGCGACGTTAAAGAGCCGAGATAGAAAAAATGTCAAACTCGTGCGACGTAAAAAAGCCGAGACAAAGATAGTCCAACCCGTATGACGTGAAAGGTAGGGTGTACTCAGGGCACAACCACCCTATTTCAATAGAAAAACGTCAAACTCGTACGACGTAAAAGAGTCGAGATAAGGACTGCCCAGTCTTGTATGACGTGGAAGGTTGGGTGTATCCAGGGCACAACTACCATGTTCAATGGAAAAACGTCAAACTCATGTGATGTAAAAGAGTTGAGACAAGTATGATCTAGCCCCGTATGACGTGAAAGATTGGATGTATCAAGGGCACAACCATCCTGTTTCAATAAAAAAACGTCAAACTCATGCGACGTAAACGAGTCGAGGCTGGTACCATCTACAAAAGGTCAAGTGTATCCAGGGCACAACCACCATGTTCAATGGAAAAATGTCAAACTCGCACAATGTAAACGAGCTGAGGCAAGTACCGTCTAACCCCGTATGACGCAAAAAGTCGAGTGTATCCAGGGCACAACCACCCTGTTCGATGGATTCCGTCTATCCCCGTATTGACGTAAAAGGGTTGGGTGTATGGTCCATCGCTGCATGACGCTAAATTGCTTAGAGGGCTCTATGGTTGCATAAGTTAAAACTGCTAACCAACCTTATTTTTCACAATATCTTTCTCTTTTCATAATTTTCACTATATATCTTGTGTTTTAAAAAAACTTGAATTTCTTTGTTAAAATCGTAACTTGTCTGTGCTCCGTGTTTTCTTTCAAATCTCCCCTTACTTTAAAAAATTATATAAAAAAAAAAGTCTTAAAAAAACGAAGCAACTTGGACACCCATATATGATGATTACTGCGTTGCCGCAATTGCTGCGTTGCTGCAATTGCCGCATTACTGCCTCGTCTCGCACTTCAGATTCGGCTAGACAAGTCTATTCCTATAGAAAGCTTTTTCCTATAGATAGCCTTAGGAAACCCTACGGAGATCAAATAAAATGCCACGGTTAAAAATTCAAACCACAAAAACCCCTGAAGTTAAATGACATGCCTAGAAAATCCAACTCGAGCTTCAAGCTTGTGTAACTCACCGACATCTCACGCCGAAAACCCTAGGGAGAAAAATGCCATAAGTGCGTGAGGTCGGTGAGCGCAATGACTTGGAGAATAGTTGGCGTGCCCTCTGACCACGTGACCTCAGGAAGAAATTTAAAATGTCTGCTTTATCTTTGACGTTCACCTGCCTCTCGAAGGACAGGGAACGCCAAAGCGTCTACTTTTTTGCAACTCACTTGTCTCTCGAAGGATAGGGAGTGTCAAAGAGGGGCAACTGTATACACCCAATTTTAAATCTGACAAATTTTATGGTTTTCTTTAGGACCACATTATCCTAGTAGAACTACTTTAATTATCCCAAAATCACCCAAATCCTATCTCAATTTGAAGTAGAGCCCAAGAGCTTTCCAAGGGTTTAAGAATCGCATGAATCGGACATATGGATAAAAAGATATAACAAATAACAATTTAATCCATGTGATACCCAACTGTCAGGCTGTAACGAGCTCGACAGGCCCAGACGTGGGCTGATAATGCATTCAACGCAGCTGATGACACAGTAAATGTGTTTTCTTTAATTAGATAAGGTTAAAACTTCAAGATAAATTCAAAAATTTCGAAAAAACTCCAAAAAATTTAGAAAAAATAACCAATTGAATATTATAAATACCCCCTCTCTCTAACCTAAAATGAGAGAGAAAAAGAAACCAAAAAAACTTAGAAATTCTCAAAATTAGAAAAAATACTAAAAAATACCAAAAATAGGAAAAACCCTTAGAAATTTTCTAAAAATTTAGGAAAAATCCTAAAAAATTAGAGAAAATCTCAGAATTCATATTAAACCTCTGGAGATCACAAAACCCTTAGAAAACTAAGGAAATTCTCCTCCAGACCCCGAGAAAGACCGACAACTTTAGAAATATCTCTAGATTGAAAACCCTAGAGAAGATAGAAACCCTAGCCTCCTGAAGTCCTAGCCCCCAAGACTGAGAAAACCGAGACCTAAGACACAAAAACCCCATATCAAAACTATAATTAGGATACAACCCTAGATCTAACCGTTTACACTAAAGATCTGCTGTTCAACATCCGAATAAGAGATACAAAGATGATCGGTTCTGATACGGACGAGCCCTCGAAGGCGCGAGAATCCCAGGCAATCCGGCCCGGTTTCGTATTATTTCTTCCTCTCTCTTTCTTATTCTTTTTACTGTTTTGCGTCTTTTATTTATTTATTATCTATTAACTTGTCTTAAAAATCGTATTTTAATGCTCTGGATCATGTTGGTTTTGCCACATATCTAAGAGTAGATCTCCTTGTTTTCGAACAAATTTGGCCTCAGATTTGAATTCGATCTGTCCCACTTTCTCTACCACTTTATTTACATCTTTTTAATTAGTTTAAGGTGTTAAAATTCGAGAAATCTTCATCGAAATATCTAACAGATTTTCATCGTAAACAAAAATACATACCAATAATTCTAATTTTAATATATAATATTGTCTTTAGTTAGATTTTAATAAATATTTGACGACAGGGAACGAACATCTCAATATTCACATATTGATGAAATAAAATGAAAGTTAATAATCTAATACTCCTGTTCCTTAATGAATTATTAAAAAACAACATTTATAATAAATTTTAATATTTTTTTTGATTTTTTTAAGGCTTAATCTGACCGATTCGGCTGATTTCCCGATTCGGATCGTCGATTCACCGATCCAGCTAGGTTTTTTGGGTGCCCAATGCGGGGCACCGATCAATTTTCTAAACCACTGGTTGCAACCTTATATAAACTATTTTCTAACTTAAAATTTACAATGTTGGGATAATCTACAATTCACAACTCTTCAAATTATAAATGTTAATGTTCCAATAAGTTGTGATGGGTGGAAATACTAAATATAAAGTATTTTGTTGAAAATGTTTATGTAGAGCTTAGGCTATAAACACTAAAATTAGAGCCTACCTCAAAACTTTCACTAGAAGAGGTTGTTTTGATGCCAAAAATCATGAAATTGATCATCTCGACATCAAGATGCATAGCCATTAGAAAAAAAATGGATTGCAAGTTTAGGAAATAGTGTATCCGCATTTTGTGACTGTCAAATTTTAAGATTCAAATTTTTAGATCTACACTATTTTTTAAGCTTTGGATTTTATAATTTAAGATGAAAATATAATTTAAGGCTATCACAAAACTTCCAGTATTGAAATCATATTTCTCGATACTATTTGAAGGTGGGCTCTAATTTGATTGTTTAGAGCCTCGACTCTATACAAACTGCACAATTCTTTTTTAAAAAGTACTTGCTCATTAAGTTAGACTATTAAGTTAGACTGTATATGTAAATATCATTAAAAGATACATCAATTACAAATCATTGTAACTTTGATTTTTATATTTTGAGGGGTTGTTGACTCTAGTTCTATACATTTTTAAGTACATAGAAAAACATTTAAGTTTAATTACCATGCATTTAATCAACTAGTTAACCACTTAAAATTTCGAGGTGATTTCGTGATTTGAAATTTTATCCATAAAAGTTGAAAATAAAATTACCAATTTGGGCCCAACCCTAAATAACTTTTTTCATCGCTGATTTTTCCCGCCACGTTGAGATCTATGGTATATAAATAACTTCCTAAAACCCTCAACGGAAAAAGAAAAGCACTTTTGCTCGGAAAAAATGGCTTCCCGACCAGACATTCCACAAACCCTAAGGTATTGTTCTCCATTAATCAGTCATTTTTTCATATATTGTTACACGTTGAGGGTTTTTTGAGCGTTTGGCAGTGTTTCAGTATCCATTCATGTTTCCATTGGCGGATTTTGATTGAAATCGAGCTTAGTATCGTGGAAATTTCTGTGCTTCTGTTTAAGTTGATTCTATGTTGTTTTTGTTGATGACTGATGATCTGTGAGTTTCTTTTAAGTTGATTTGGAGTTGTTTTTGTTATCGAATGTCGATTTGATGGTTTTTGTGGTGTAAGGGTTTGATGCTTGGATTGCATGTCGATGAATGTGTCCAGGAGTTGTGTTTTGTAAGTAATGCAGGGTATCTCGGTTGATTTGAGATGTTACTTTAAATCTCATAGGAATTTTTCGAGCCCTGTGAATGTTTTTTGTTATTCATTCCATTTCTTATTGTGAAATTGGGTTTTCATGCTTTTTCTTTATACAGACTGGGAGATTATCGCTGATGAATTTACTTCAGCTGAATCACTGCTCAAAAGAGAATGCGATCTATTTTTTTATTTTTCTCATCAGCGAGGGTTAAGTTCATGCTTTTTGTATGAAATATTGGGCATCCTCATATGGTTTATCTGGCTTTGGTATTTTGTTTTATCCTCTTTCCATTAGTTTTGGGGAATATGAGTTCTTATGGTGGATGTGTTGAAAATTTGAAATAATTTAAATGCATGAAGTTTCTTCTTGTCTATATATGCCAGTCATTGTACAAATAGAGCATTGTTAGCACCATTATAAATGTGCGGATCAGTTTGGAAATTACTATTCTATTGAAACATTATTGGGAATATTTACTCTTTAACTGCAAGGGAGGTGGGTAAAGCTTTGGAGGTGGTTGGGTGTTTTCAAATAAACTTGTTCTTCAAAGTTTGTATTCGGGAGCAACTAAAGGATTGAATGAAATTTTCAATATCATTTGATTTTAATAGTAAAATTATTTGATTTAAAAAAGTAAAAATTACTTTTGGAAACTAAACATATTTGTTTTTTGGGTTTCTTTCGTTCCAGTTATTTTTGGTGCGTTGAATGAGAATTTGAAGGTTTTTTCAGAATTCCAGTTGTTACGATGTCAAGCAAGAAGTTGTTTTCCTGGGATTTTTTACTTTTTTTCCCATTTTCTTTTCAAAAATTTGATGCACTGTATTTTTATTATTTCTCAGATGATTAGATATTCTCGTTGTATTGTATATGTATATTGCCTATGCATTAGTTTAAGTGTGTGTTCACTTGTAATTTAATTGGAACAAATAAAAAAATAGAAGAAGACCCTTGCATTGTAGTCTCACCTCGGGTTGCTTTTTCCTTTTGATTGCTTCCTTCTTTCTAATTAGTGATAACGGGGATGTTAAGGGATGTGCAGCTTTGGTCTTTGATGAAACTAAACTGTTTGAAGTGCAACAACAATTTCTCCAACTGAGAAAGATTAAACGTTTAGAGTTAATTAGCAGGGATGATGCGTTACATGCATCTATTTCATGTATTCTTTGCTTGAATTTAAAATACTCGATGTTTGTAATCTTGTGAATATCAATTGTAAATACACACATTCTCCAATGGTACAACGATCTGTTACATTCACAAGAATCCCATGCTTAGTTATCAGAAGTTCAGAACTACCAGTAGTGCTGTAGACTTTGGAAGCCTGGGCAGTTCAGAAGTAGTCTTTTGGTTTGGAGAGCACAAAGAATCATTCCTGGAGAGAGGCTGTCATTTTATAGTGCTTCTATTATAGGCTCTCTGGTGCATGTATACACCAAGACGGAAATGTTATTCTCCCTCCATAAGGTATCTCATTTTTAGTTACTGGCTTGTCCAAGAGTAGGAATTCTCTTACCTGTTGGTGCCCTAAGAAATTCTTTCATTTTTACCGTTCTCATTGTTGAAAAAATATTGCACGATGCCCCCAGCCCCCATCCTACCTAAAGATGCATGGGCTCCTTAAAGTTGAAATTGAGAGTAGATGATGACATGATTTATACAACTGTCCGGCCTCTGAAATTTATCATTACATATTGGTAATTTCCCATACATGGCGGATGTTTCGACCCGTGTATCAGATCTTTAGGGGTTTTATTGTAGTAACTTGGTGTGTACGAATCAGAAGACTGTCATGAATACCATTACTTTGATTTTAGAACAAGCTCTGGTGTCCAGGGCAGCAAACATAATAAATGTATGGCTCTGGTGTCCAGGGCTGATGAAATAGTTAAATAAAACTATTTTTGGAGAGACCTGAATATTTATTGCTTGCTCTTTTCTGTTGTACTGTGATGATACAGAAGCTAGTCCTCTTGTTGTCGATCCAACACTTATGCATAACCAAGGTTTAAAAAAAACACCGGTTGCTCGGATTGTCCACCCCAAAACCCATGTTGGATCGGTGGATTGGCATGTCGGATTGGTGGAGAATCGGTCGAATCGGTAAATTTTGTCCCAAAGTTTTTTCAAGAAATCACTATAAATCTTTAAAAATAGTGTTCTTTTAGTTTCTAAAGGAAATTATGTGCATTATGTACTTCCGTTACTTTGTAAAAATAGGTGAATACTAAGATGACGTTTTCTTGGCTAGATGTCTATATAATTATTGGTTATAATATAATATTATAATATTGCATCAAAGGATTCAAAACTATCAGGAAACACTTCCATATTATAATATTTAAAAAATAATTTTCCATATAAATTGAAATTAGTATTAAATCAAGAAATTGTCTTTATTAAATTCTCTTTACTTGTCCAAAATTATCACAACCTAACTAACTATAATATTATACATTGAAATTGGAATTATTAGTTTATATTTTATAATCATTTTACTATACAAATAATAATAAATTTGAAAACATTGAAATTGGGTTTATATTTTATAGTCATTTTACTATGTAAATAAGAATAAATTTGAAATTTAATTTGGATTTATACTCAAATTTAATTTGGGTTTATAGTTTATAATCATTTTACTATACAACATAAGAATAAATTTGAAATTTGTCTTATAATATCATCTAATTTAAAAATCTAATTTACAACTATGACAAAAATAATATATTATATAATTTATAATGTAAATAAATTAATAAGCAAAATATAAGATTTAATTATCAATATAATTAGTATAATTATTAATTACAATATAAGATTGATGCCAGGGGAGAGAGAGAGAGACCGTGGGCGGAGGCGTTATATTTTGGCGGGCAAGGCTTTATTTAATGGGAGGGGGTGGGCATTTATCCCACATCGAACCCATTGGTTTTGGGCCTTTTGGTAAGATGCTATAAAGTTTCATGGAGCATATCACAAGTGTCTCACTCGACTAGAGGTTTGGGAAAGTGGGCATGTAATAATGAGCCCTCGAGTCAAACTTTCAAAAGCAATGTGGGATCACCTATGGAGGAAATTTTTATAATTTAGAAAGCCGTAGACTGTATTGGTGAATGTCAGTCTAAGACGTTATAATGTACTGGTGATGTGTCAGTCTATCACGTCATAATTGGTGTTGTAACGAGTCGCTGACATAAGAGCCAGTTCATGACTTCATAATCCAGTGACGTGTCATATATATGACATCATCATACCGATTCCCTATGTCAATACAGCCGGATCCCATTTTTTAAGCAGATTTGGGATGGATTCACCAATACTCAATCCGGAAGCTGAATCCGGATCAGATTGGCGTTTTTCGAACCTTGTGTAGAACAAAACTAAATTCTCTTGGGATACATGAATGACCTTAATTGGTTATGGTGTTGACTGTAGAACCATCATGTCTCTTGCTCTAACCCACCGGTGAAAATAAAAAAAAACTTTTTTTTTGGGTAAGTGAAAGTAAAAAAACTAACAAAGGCTTTTTGTCATATCACCTTAGAAGATGATAGATTGAACACTGAATTCTAGCTTTGGTCTCCACGTCATAATTTATAGGTTGATGATTTTAACACATGATTCTTTGATCTAGGAGATGATGGTTTTAACACATCACTTTTAGTTTTGGTATTGACATCATAATTTGTAGGAGATGATCGTTTTAACCCTTCACTCTTAGTTTGGGGCAATCTCTAATTTTACCATCCACTAAAGAGTTATTTCTATTTTAGACTTTCTCAAAACATCGGTTCCTTAAAATACTGATAGTTTATGTCATGAGTTACAAATGTTGTTATCAAGTAGTTTTTTTAAAATAAAACTAGCAAAGGATATCAGTTTTTGAATATCTCAAGTATTCTTTTTCTAAAAATAAAAACATAATGTTGGTATTTGAAATATTGATATCTTGGAAACAGGGATTTGTTTTAGAAAAGCAAGGTGTTTGGCAAGTCTGACACAAATACAGAAAGAGTTGATCTATTAATATTCATACTTGTTAATAATAGGGTGATATCCATGCCCTGACACAAAAAACCTAATGACTCTTGTTTTCATTTTTTGCACAAGAAAGTTTGGGCCAATGAATCAGTCATGGGATATGTAATTTATAAGCAGCTACAAACATATTCAAATAGGTGACTTTGTAAGAGAAACACCATATCAGGACGAACAAGTTAGAAATTCATGGAGTATGTCCTTAGAAGGGAGCATTAGATCTGGATTGCTCTTATGCGGTTTTGTGTTATGTATGCCTCTCATTTCACTATTCATTCTCTATCTTTTGCCGTGGGGGTAATTATTGACAGAAACAATGGGTTCGATTGTATTGAGTTGTTTGGCTCTTTACCTTTTTCCCACTGGACTATCAGAATTTTAAAAAGTACCTGAAATATCAATTGCTTAGAGTGGACAACATTTATCCTGATAGCTTTTTTATGTCATAATTATGGAGTTGTTATTTTTTCTCAATTATCTGGTGCAAATTTGTTATAGTTTTCTTGGTCAAAACATAATTTGTATAATGCTTGTTGACAGGCACAAATGTTCAGCATGCTTTAAACTGTATAATAAGCATGAGCATCTAGTTGCACATATGAAGGACTCTTACCATTCAGTTCATGAACCTATGTGTGGTGTCTGCAAAAAACATTGCAAAACATTCGAGTCACTGAGAGAACATCTCTTAGGTAAGGCATGTTTGTTAAGTACAAGTATCATAATGCTAGCAATTTTTGGTTCCAAAAACTGTTTCTCTTATGGTTTTTCTGTTGGTTCCTTAGAATATTATATTTCTTTGATTTTGTCAAGGCCCTCTTCGGAAGTCTGGCTGTGCATTGGTCTTCCTGGATCGTGGTTGCCATCTATGCTTGAGTATTCTCAGCAGTTCTGATGCTCGTAGCAAGCATTTGGAAACTTGTCAAATGTTACCTGCAAATCCTCATGTATGTTACTTTGTGAAGCTTCCAATATGTTTACGCAATGTCTAAAATCACGTGAATTCATAAAACCTGGATTTTGACCCTGGCCTGTTCTGGATGTATTGAGTGCTAAAATTTGGACGTAGAAGGCGAGATTCATAGATAATGCTCTTATATCAGAAAAATCACCAATGTATTGTTACCCATATATCACCCAACATGTTGGACTTGATGGTAATGAAAGTTTACTGGTTCAATGAGTGTAGCAAATGACCATTAGGTTAATGAGCGTCCAACGAAATGCTGTACAGTTGTGGAGAGACAGTAGGAGTTACCTTTGGAGTAATACTATTCCTCTACATACATTTCCATCATTGCATTGGACAATCACCACCCCAATGGAACTCCATTGCTATTTGCTGTATAGTTTACCTCCCCTGTGTTTAATTTAAATAACTACAAACTTAGATTGTGCTCTTTTATTTAAGTACAAACTTAGATAAGTTGATATTGAAAGACGAAAGGTTATAAATTTTCATCATTGTAAGGCCATTGTTTATAAAAAAAGAAGGTTTTCTGTGCTGTTGATTGAAGAAATGTGGTCCATTTCAGGGTCTTATTCCTCGAGTGTCTCTCTCAAACAAGCCCATTAGAGACAAGGCATATTTTGGCTTATACTCTGTAACCTGTGAAATCCGAGGCCGTGAAGCAGTTGCCATTGACTGTGAAATGGTTGGGGGTGGAGATGATGGTTCGCTTAATCTTTGTGCCAGGGTTTGCCTCATTGATGAAGATGAGAATATGATCTTCCATTCTTATGTCAAACCTCCAATTCCCGTCACAGATTACAGGTTGAGCATCTTTTGTCCTTTGTTAGTCTGTAGAGAATAATTTGTTTGCTGCATCTATATGATTTGTATGATGTGATTATGCTGCTTGCATGCCTGAGTTAGAAAATCTTAGTTTAGGCTTGCGTAAGGTGTGGGGTATTTTCCTTTGAAAATCATTATCCATGCAATCCAGGTTATATTCATGGAAAAAGGGAAAACTATTTCAAATCAGATGCTGCAACTCTATTAAGGGTGATGGCCTCATGTTATCAAGTGGGCCAATAAGGACAGTGAGGTCCCATGGTGCTTGAAAATAACCTTTGAAGATTTTTTTTTTATAGCTCCAAGGATGTGTTTTTGTTTTTCGCAACACATTGTGGGGGCCAAATGGGGAAGCAGAAGTAACATAAATGCTAATGGTGAGTAGAGTCAAGGATCGCTTCTGGTTGCTAAATTCATTTTTTCACCATGTCCAATATTATACTTTCCTTTAGCACAATAACAGAAGGGCAGTGGCCAAATGAAATCAAGGTTTATCTTCGAATTATATGTATATTTGTATTTATTTATCGTTGAATTATATATATAATTTTTTTAAAAAGGTATATATATATATATATATA